AAATAGACAAAAAAAGAGTGAAAAATGAGCTAGAAATAATTATTTGATCAGGAACATTTTAATGCAGAGAAACTTTCAAATAATGTTCTTAAAAGTCTCTGTAAAGAATGAAGTTCTTTATTCCCTGAAGTTTTTTGTGATTTTCACAGAATGTGGAATTATCTAACAAACATGGATTTATACCTAATGTCTGGCTACCATTTTGCAAAGAAAGGAATAGTTTTTTTACCTACAATATTAGGGTAAATTCAAACAAAGCTTCTGTCACTTATGACATGAATTAATCCATAGCATATATACAAAACTAATGTAATAAATTACATAGCACTTATTTTGATTACTTGTGTTAATTAGAATGATTATTTTGTTACTTATATAAATATAGAAAGAGCCTTAGTCAGCTATAAAAAAAGGTATTCTTAATTATTTATGGCTTATTTGTTTAAATAATGCACTGGTTGTTGTTTGCTTCATGTGGCAATAATTGTAATGTAAAATGATACACTAAAATAAGTAAGCATGTAATCGTTTTAAGTTCTCTGAATATTGGCGCCTCAAAATAATTGCCACACAGGTAAATTAGGGTAGAAACTGGCTGCACACTAAAGATCAGACATAAGAACACTAATGTAATGTAGTAACAACTCTAAGTAGAAGCTTTATTTGACTTATTCAGCTTTAGTTCTGAAAAAACATTTATTTTAGTGTGATGGATGGTTACAAGTGAGAAAGGAGATAGTGTGTGCTTATTCTATTACCACAACTAAAACTCTCTTATCTAAAGGGAATTAACTCTAACTTAGCAGAACATATATAAAAGGAAAGAAAGACATTTCAGATTCTCTTAGAATTAAATCAAAATAACAAATATTGACAGTGTAACAGCAGCCTTACCATTAACAAGAAAAAAATTGAAGTTTCAAAACCATAAATGAAGAAATGACATGGTGGAAATAAGTAAAAAAGTTTTTATTTCCCTGTGATTTACAAGCTGTTTTGCAGTATCATATATCAGTTGTGGGAGACTGAGAGTTTGATTAGTGTATAACACAAGGTAGTAGTTGAAATAGACATGTGTAGAAAATCAATTTGAGACTTGTGAGAGAAAATCAACATGCACATGTAGTCAAAAGTTAGTTTCTGTTGCTGCAGGTTTTGTCACTGGCTGAAGGCATTACTTTTGACAGAAGTGTCTTGATGTCACTTCTGATTGCCTGGGCAGTTGTGTAGTTTGCCACATTCAGTTAAGCTTGCCTGCCTGTTGTGGGTGCTAGTTACTAAAGATAGCTTGGTCAGATCTACCTTCATGGGTAAATTAAGCCTTGGCTTTAAAGTCAGTGGCTCAAAAATGGCCGCTGAAAAAAAATCAGGCAAGCCTTTTCCGATTGACCAGAAAAGATGTTTCACAACCGTGATATTTTAAGGCAACATTCTAGAAGTGGTTGCATGTAGCCAGGCAAAGTTAAGGTGTGTTTTTGTCATATTAGCTGTGGACATCAAAGTGAGCACTTCTGTTTGAGTTAAAGAATTGGAGTACCAACAGGGTATGACAATAGAAGGTCCAAGATGAAGAATGACATACATAAACACCAATTTATATTAGCAGACTGAGTATAATTTTATACATATGGAAAGCAATATATAAAAAAAAAATAATTGTTAAATTCTATTGTACTAGGGACCAATGCAAAGTCATTAAAAAAAAAACAAATTTTACTCTTATACTTTGAATTTATTTAAAAAATTGTTTTTTAAGAATGTCACAAAAAGTGATTCAAGAAAAATTAGAAAGTAAGAAAAGCAGATTGGTCAGCAAGCAAATATTTGAATAAGCTGATGTTGCAAATGTAAAAAAGGAAAACTGCAGAGTATTAAGAACATTGGCTAAAGACATGAAAGCAACCAAACTATCACCTTTGGGCTATTCCAAAGTTTCTGATCATAGTAAGGTAAGTTGTTAGACAAAACTCAAAGAAGCTAAAGAATATATACAAGATAATGCACCTTAACATTTAACAAAGTTGATCATCATCCATCTTTCCAAAAAAAGTTTCAAAGATACCAAATTGACAGAACGAAACGTAGTCTCTCTAAATGTTAATGGAATTCTTGTAGTCCATCCTTAAAAGATATATATATACAAAAATGTAAAACAATATTCAAGCAAAGAAGATCTTTAAGAATACAAACTACTGCAAGTAATGTTAAAATCAAAATGATAGAAAAAAAGGAAGAATGCTACAGAATGTCAAGTCATCCATTTTTACATGTGAAATAATAAAATTATAATTTATTCAGATGTATGGGGTATTGTGCTAACTAAATCTATGCCCCTATGGCCTATATCTTTTGGGACTTATTTGTAAATAAAGATTTATATTTCACTTAGTTTTTATACGACAAACAAATAACATAATCAAAATAAATTATTATCAATATTTTTAATAAGGAAAGATATAAACTGAAGTTTATGGTATATCCTAACATTTTTATTAATTGGTACTAGCAATTTTATAATGAAAGCATTGACTTATATAATAAAATCTGATATAGTATATTTTTATGACAATGAGTTTTAAAAATTTGTAACTGACAGTGTACACTCTATGCAAGTTGAGCTATTCTCCAATATGGTGAAATCTTAAGATTAAAAACTACAACAAAAGTGGATTTTAAATAATAATTACACCCCCTAATAATTTTTCATATGTAAGTACTTGATTTATTGTTTTAGTCAAATAAATTGGGGGGTGTTGAAAAGTTCTCAGTCCAAATCACTTCCAAAAAAAATAATCAAATATCAGATTTTTTTTAATCTCTTTTCTTGGTTGAGCTGAAAACTTTTCATTATTGCTTTGTAAAGTTTTTGTAATTATTATAATTATTTTGACTTGCTTAAAATAATAGTTCACTCATCTGATTTTCTTTCCAATATATTTATTAAAAGTTTGATTATAATTAAAAAAAAGAAAGATGTTTGTAAAAAATAAAGAAATTAAATAGTGTTCCACCTTTTTATCAGGAAGCATAGATATGCTTTTTTAACACTAATTTTTTTAAAAAATACTAGTCATCTTCAGCTTTATGGCATAATTGCTAATTGGAAAACTTTTTCTGAAAGAAAGGGCGAGAGAGTGAGGGGGATGAGAAAGAAAGAAAGAAAGAAAGAAAGAAAGAAGTAAGTAAGGGGGAGTGAGTGCGAAGGCCATTTATCAACCCTCTGGACAGAATTTTTTGTAAAAAGAAGTAACACTAATGTACAATTGTACATGCTAGTCGAGTGCTAGCGCGAATTAAAATGCTTGTTAGTTTTATTGCGATAAAAACCTAAAGTCTCTTTTTTTTTTCTTTTTTGTAATAATAAATTTCAGAAGTTAAAAAAAAATAAAATAAAAAACGTTCCATGGTTTACAATATTTTTCAGGTTATGTTGCTTGTAAGATTAAAAAAAAAATATCTATAATTAAAAATCCCCAGTAGCAGTAAAAAAAAAGAAAAGAAAAGCAAGTGTACCATTCACTTACTTCACTTACATTGCTTTTTGCCAGAGTTGAGCTTTGTAAATATTAAATTTAAAAATAAATAAAAGTCTAAGGGCATTTAAAAGTAACAGGACATATCTTTATTTGCATAAGAATATAAAAAACAAAAAAAGTAATGTGGTGATGTTTATTTTCTCTTTTAAGTGCATGATGCGCCCATTCCACTCGCGCTTTGAAGAGACCGTGAGCGCAAGTGTGCGTAACTATGTCCAAGTTTGTATGTTTGTAAGATGAATGAAGTTTTAGTCTTTTTTACTCTTTACATTTGTCGTCTGCGCGCGCAAGTATGATTTTTTTTAGAGAAAGAAAAAACAAAACAAACGGAACGTCTAAAAAAAAAAAAAAAAATGAAAATTTATGAAAAAAGGATAATTTTTTCTTCTGTAACTCACTTATTTTTTTCTCAGAGAAAATAAAAAATATTTCAGTTAAAATAAAAAAAGGGATTGAAAAAAAAAACCGCAATAATAAAACTATCTTTATCAATAAAATTTAATAAACACTAACTAACACTTCTTACCAACAGGCAACTTTTTAGCAGATTCTCTAGAGTCTAAAAATGAGGCAACAAGAATATATATATATATATATATATATATATATATATATATATATATATATAAAATAATATATGATATCGAACTTCGGAAAAGTTCGTAAAAAAGATTCGTCGTTTTCCGAAAGACCTTACACTAACAAATTTTAGTGGAGTGAAGGTATTCAGTTTTACGGTGTTTACCATTTTTCTAACAACATTGAAATCCAATGTGTTTATTTTATTCTTTTTCCTTATTTTCAAGTCCTTGCTTATTTTCATTTTCGGTTATTATCATTTATCTTTAAAAAAAAATGACATACTTCCTCATATACCAGTACACCTTTCTTCAAGTACGAAGGACTTAAGGGTAAATAGAGGACTGGGCTTGTCCGACAATTACCGAATGTTACCGATTACAAAGCATCACTCATCATCGGGTATTGCTCCAAACATTGGCCATCATCCATCCTTTTATTCTTGCAACTCCCTCCGTCTGTTTTTCACCGTCCACTCTCTGTAGTCTTTATTTAAACTTCTCCTTCTCCTCAGTCTTCTATCTTTTTCCTTAAAACTCTCTCATATAAAACTTCACCTTCCCATTTCTATTTCTCTTACCTTTGCGGCCACTCTTTTCTCTCACTTTCTTTTTTTATGCTCTCTGTGAATATCCTCCTCGATTTACTTATTACACTATCCCTCTTCTCTCTCGCTGATTGGCACACCCTCTCTATATAACATCAAGGCACATTTCACGCTGGAGCTTTCAACGATAAAAGTGGGTAAACCACACGTTCTATGACGTCATACGGCTCTCAAAATGGCGGCAGATTCGCTGATCTGATGGTACGGTAAAGATTTGTAGTCATAGGCAACAGAGTTGTAGTGGAGTTTTGTCTGTCTCATGGCTATACTTTGCTCTAATGGACGCGATGTCGGAGCCGAGGAGGTTGCATTTTACCACGATCGGTCCGATGGGGAAGGAGAAGAAAAAGAAGTCGTCACTGCCACCCACCATACGTTTCACATTGGCGCTGAGAGAATCCAACGATAAAACATGTCCCGAATTTTCGTATGCCGATTTAATGAAGAATGCTTTGGTAAGTTAAGACCTGCATTTTTCCTTTTCTTTCTGTGGTTGAACACTGGTTTTCTTTCAACTTAGTTAGTTTGTTTGTTGCTATACACTTTGTGCGCCTCCTTATAATATACTGCCATTGATTTTGCTCAGAGAAGCAAAATAAAGTTGTACTTATTTCTCTTATTGCTCCGCAATGGAAAAATCGTTTATAAAGATACTGAAAACGGATTATCAAAAGTATTTTTATTCCATTCTCTCCGGCACACAAGTACCTCTATATCTCCTATTTTTTTTTTTTCTTCCATAGTTGAAAGTGGTGGTGGGGAACAGACAAGTTAGCTAGACCCATCAGAAAAAAAACAGATAAAAAGAAATTATATTCCTGCTTTTTCTCTATTTTCTCCCTTGTCCGTAATGTTTTTTCAAGCTCGTCTTGAAAAATGACTGCTTTTTCGTGTCAGTGATCTAAGTTTGTGTATAGACATAGACATGAGGTAGGGACACTTAATTTGACAATAACTAAATAGTTCGACAAAATTTTCCTAATTGATATTTGAAGTTTTATTTAATCTTTAACCGCTTTATTGAGTTGTGCGGGAATAATTGACTGCGATGTTCTTAACAAATTCTTCATATATGGTCTTTTTTCTGGATTGTATGAGTGAGAATAAGAATAGCTTGCTTGTTCTACTTAGTTATTTTAGTTCAAAAATTGAAACTTAAATAGTACGGGCTTCCCCCAGTTCTTATTTTCAAATGATTAATAAAAATGAAAAAGTAAAAACCTAATTGACTTCGCTTTTTATTGCTTTTTTAGTAATTTTATTTTTTTAACGCCTTTTTCATGAAGGTTAGTTTCAACGTGTTAGATAGCGCTATTTTGTCCTGAGGTAGATAAATATTGTAACCATTGGAATCCTTTCTCCCCCCCCCTTTTTTTTTTTCGATGACCTTTGTTAGATTTCCTTTTTGGTATGTTTTCACTACATATTCACTGCTTTATGGTTTAGTGTCTAATTTTTTCTTATGAACTATTTATTTAGTGATTAAAACCACTTGAAATTAAAAATGGCAAGCTATTGGACTTTAGTTTGAATTTTTATTTTTTTTTAATATTTACCTGCTGCAAATTTATTTGCATAGATTTCATGCGCCTTTTTAATTTGAAGATAAATGCAAAATCGGATTTGCTTTAATAATTATTTTTGATAACTTTGGAATGAGTTAATTTTTCCATTTTATAAAAATGAACTCTATCTTATTGATATTTTTTGTGACATTCCATATTGTGCATAACTTTTTTTTTTTTTTTTTTTTTTTTTTTTTTTTTCTAGCAGTAATTCTAAAAATATTAAAGTCAACCCTTTTCGTTGAACATTTTCTCTTCAGATTGTTTTTTTTATTTACTTCAGTTTTAATTTTCCACTTATGGAAATTTTTTTTTTTTTTTTTTTTTAACACTACAAAAACCACGTGCAGATTATGACTTGAACCCTCATACACTTGTATTGGAAAATAGCCGATTGTCGGACACTTGCTATATATAACTTCTCATTCAGTTCATTAAAGATTTTTGTTTGGTCGCTTGTTATATTTTGGTTCAAGTTTTGAATTCAAATCCAATGTTTTTTCTTCTAACTCTTCAATTTCATAGAAAAATGTAAACAAATTAGTGAAGACTAGAATTTTCATTTAGAAAAGTTATTTCAAATATTTTTGTGTACATGTCTAACAGCTGTTTAATAGCAACAACATTAATATTTGGTGGCAGTGTTAAACTACTAAGCATAAATTAGGTTTTACACGTGCTGACAGCCTGCTTTTTCCTCTTTACCTTTTAGTTTTATTATCAATATCAGGTATATTTTTAAAAGTACCTTTTTGATCCAGAAAGTAGTTTTGGTTCCCTGATTTTTACTCTCCGTACAAACACTGTGTGTACTTACAGATTTAGAATGTACAGAAAATGAACACTTTGAAATTTTTCTTCACTGTTAAAAAATACAAAATAATCTCTACATATCTTCGTAAAATGTTTCAATTCAGTAGGTAAGACAAAGAATTATTCAACTTTTTTAAAGTTATCAAGGGGGTCACTTTTCTTTCCTGGATTCATTTTCTTCTGTTTTCTTTTTATTGTGTAAGTGGAGTAGATTCATGCTTAAATTTCAGAAATATTCATTGCATATTGCAAAAATCAAGCAAACTTTTTTCTTCACCCTTCCCCAACTCAAATTCTTGACGATATTTTATTTTCCAAAACACTTTGGAACTCGAACATAGTATTCAAAAATTGAGCACCATTTTTACGGTACTCTTGAATTGCACATGCAGACATTGATATCCCATACATAGTTATATTCTAATTAATAAATTGAAGTATGCACCTTTTTTATTTATATTTGGCCCGCTCTCTTAGAATTGTCGAAGATGCTTTCTTTCATGATTTTTGGCTGTTAATTTAAAACAATCAAGTCATTGTTCCAAACGGTTTTGGTCATTATTCATATTTGCAGACTTGGTTTTAATTTCGTTCTTTTCTCTTTTTTTTACACTGTCAAAGTAAATGCTACCCTTTCAACCAAATTTAAATGTCTCTCAGTCATACAGGTATGCATACCGATTAGGGTTTTTGTGTAGATTGTTGCATTCATAACCAACACCCCTGTTCCATAAAAACATACACTACACTTAAGCACCATGACGTCAATTAATCTACAGAGCTACACAATTAGATTTTTTTCTTTATTCATCTAATAATGGTTGTTCGCCATTTTGAACCTATACAATTTTTTTGTGTGCGACAAATGAAACGATTTAAACTTTACAAACATATGTATGCGTAAAAATTGCATTTCGTTCGTTACAAAGGCAATTAAGTACGTACATGTTAATTTTTAGTTAGGTGGCAAATAGGTTCGTTATTCCATGCATTTGTAAATTTATGGTACTGGTCATTCCAAATAGATTTGGAAATAAACTAGTGGGTTTTGTTAGTTTTCTTTTAATATAGTCCAGGTCATAAAGAAAAAGAAAAAAGCAATATGAATGTACTTTGAAATTTTGTTTCTCCGGACTGGTAGTTACGAAACTTATTGTTGCATTTATCAGCAGCTGAGGCTTATGAAAACCAGGCGAAGCAAATCAGACTTTGTCTCGTTAATTTTCCTCTATCATCTTTTTACACAGGCATTTAACTGTCCGTTATTACCACTAATTCTCCAGTTAATTCTAATCTTTTTTTACTAAAAGTATTGAATATCAATTATCTTAAGTTCCAAAAAGGCGAATATAACAGTGTTGTCAAGAAGTTAACCAAAAATGGTGACTTTTTATGCCCACGTGCTTTATAGGTTTTTTTTTTTTTTTTGTTCTCCATTGAGTTTCTTAATTACTTATTGACATAAGTTTCAATTACCCGGAAAATTAAAGTTAGTTTTCATTTTCCTCCTTTCTTTTGGTAATGAAGACTGCAGTTTTTTTTTGTTTTTTTGTTACACTTGGCTTTCTTTTTGACATTTATGTAAAATTTCATTGTCATTAAAAAAAAATCAAATATTAACTAATTTAATTATTAATCAACTTTCTCCTAGACTTTTTTTGAAGCACGACTACGCTTCAGCGATAAATGTCAACTTTTCTGAAAATCGTCACCGGTTCTCGTACGATCACCGAAGTTAAGCAACATCGAGCCTGATCAGTACCTAGATGGGTAACCTCTATGCATGAACGTGCAGGTGGTGTAATGGACCACGGCTCTGAATTGGAAGTCGGAGAACAGTTCCAATTCTAGTTTGGTTCGTTATATTCACTTACGCGCAAACACCCTTCTTGGGAAAGGTATGAATCCATCTTATCCCCAAATTATGGGTTAATTAGTAGGACATGTGTTAATAAAATCATTATTTCTAAAAATTCTTACAATATAAATTTTATATCGTAAAAAAATCTGGCTTTGAATAACCTACAAAAAGGTTAATCCGTAAAGTCAAGTTTCATTTACAATTGCTCTTCAGCCACATTATCTTACCAATCTCCGATTGCATTTACAAAATACATGATTTTTAATTTTTTATCATTTCTTAAAAGGTAAAAAATATGCTACTCTAACTTTTTTTTTTTTTGTGTCTGGTATATTGTGTAATAATAATCAACCTCGAAAAGCTAATCTTCAGGGACATAATTTGTTTTAGCTATTTATGTACTAAATTGGAACAATGTATTGTATGTGTTATTGTACATTTTCTTTTTCATTATTGAAGTACTCGCGTTCGAATAGTTTCGTAAAATACGTATGTGGAAAATGTCAATGTAATTTATAATTTTAGTACATAAAAACGTCACTCGACGTAAAATTACATTAAAAATATGCTGGTTATAAAACACAACCTTGTTGCCAAACTTTTCTTTTTTTTTTTCTTTGACCAAAGTACAGGGAAATATCTCCCGTATTACATTCTTATTACGTTTTAATTTTTTTACAAGTCTCACGGTATTTCATGTTAAGAGCTTTTTAGACCTTTTTAAAGAAAATGACTCGATTATGGCTGGCTTTAAATTTTAAAATCAGCAACATATTTAAATAAAATGTCTTAATGCCACAGGGAGCCAAGAATGTGAAAATAATTTTAATTTTATAAACTAGCTCTAAATAAACTACTGATTTGATCCTTGAAATAAAACGTAAACTAAACATCTATACTTCCTAGTAGTCACTTTTTTATTCTGCTCTTCTTGTCTGTCTTTACGCTGTAAGCATTGTTAACAAGCGTTCAATGAAATTCACCATATTTTAAGTAATATACCTTAAAAATTATTCTGAATCATTCACAAAAATTTTTATTTTTTATTTTTAATCGATTCTGTATTTTAAATATTTTAGTGCTTCCATGTTTTGGTGATAATTCAATTCGATAGCAGTAAACGATAGTGGCGATTGTTTTTTTTTTGTTTTTTTTAAGTGTATTTTCTCAATCCTAAGTTTTAAGGATTGACATAAAGCAAATGCATCGTAATACGTCGACTTTTTTTTTGTTTAAAAATTGGCGTATTTTTACGCCCATAGTATAATGCAGCAATGCTACTAAGGGGGCAAAGTAAACCTTTCCTTATTTTATTTCAACATTAAAATTATTATAGTTGTTGCAGGTTCTCTTGAGAGGAAAATAAAAATGCGAAACATGTTGGTTGGTAGTGGCTTAGGATCGATTTTTTTTTTTTTTCCAAATAGGCTTTTCTCCTATCCAAGAAGCAGTCCTTGCACTATCTTGAGTACAAGGATGATGTTAGTAGAGGTAACTCGTGTGTGAATGGTGCAGAGGGATGATAGAAATAGGTCAATTGCTAGATCTATTGGGAGATAGTCTGCGCCTATCGACCAGAGCATCGTTCAACATCCAGTCTATATTCTCGTCATTTCTAGTGTTAATTTTTCGCTTCATAGTTTGATCTCTTTTTCTCCCCTATCCAATTGGGTTATCGGAGCGATTAGAAATATTGATTGTGTATGGCGGGAAAAGAAACCTCTTATCTCAAATACGCTGACTATAGGCGCTTTCCAAGGGAGATAACTGTAAATTAACGTGAGGTTCAATAAGGATTTTTTCTTTTCACTAATGAAAGATATATTAAATCATTAAGACAAGCTGATTTTAATATGGAATCGAAAAATTAGGTTCTTCAAGCATGGATGTTGAATCGCAATTTTTTTTTTGTATCGATTATTTTCAGTATATTTCAATCATTGGATATTGGAACAGTGCCCGATTGACAGTCTTTTTAATTTGGAGGGTGGCTAAATTTGCACTTTTTTATTTTATTTTTTTTTATTATGGCCGGCCGGACTACCAACGTTAATTTAAATTTCATTATTTTCCAAATTCAGCAGTAATGACTTAATACAAATCTAGGTGTGTGAGAGCAATTTTAGTAATACGCACTGATAAGTTGGGACGAATCCAAATCTAATAATTTCATTGTTTACAACTTTTAATAATGATGGTTCCTTGGAGACGAGTTAGGGACGATTAAAAAATCACACTTTATGTAAAGAAAAAAAACAAGCTACACAATATATATATATATATATATATATATATATATATATATATATATATATATATATATATATGTTGTTTTTTTTTTTCTTTAAATAAAGTTATATATATAACCTAGGCGACAATGCCTCTGAAACGCAAGGGGCTACACCAGTACCAACTAATTTAATCAAAAGCTTTTTTAATTGCTCTTATAAAATTTGAGTAGGTACTGGCGTGAGATCTCTGGAAAATGAGCATAGTATAACAGCCTTAAACTTGACGTAAACAAATTTTAGCGTCAAAATGTTTGTTGCTATTAAGAGGAAAGAACAAAGTAATTCATTTTAAGTTTCAATTCATCACCGGAACTACTAGTAAATAACGGCAACTTTTTTTTTTTTTTTTTTTTTTTTTTTTACACTTTAATTTTGAGAATTTTTGCAAAAAATAAATTTTCAGAAACTATTCACAAAAGGAAATTAAATGTTTTTCTTTAAGTCATGGTACTCCTCCCCTCCCACTAATTTTATGAAAACCTTTTATGAAATTCAAGTGTACATTTTTAGTAATTTAACGCACAAGGCTTTGAGGAAAGAATCTTTTTACCCCCCCACACCTTAAAATCTGCTTCTAGTTCCCCCCTTTTTTTTTTTTTTTTTCTCTTGTCTAAAAAGCAAGAAAGGTTTCTGAAAAATTTGTACAATTATTTATTTCTTAAATTATTTTATTTTCTTCTTTTAAAGTTGTTCTAAAATTAATAAAAGTAGTGTACAGTTCGGTTAATAATGGTGTTATTAATTACAAATACATAATTTAACTTTTTTTCTTTTTCTTTTTTTTTTTCTTTTTTTTCACAAAGTATGTACCTATCCTATGAAATTTATATGGTCTTGTTTTTTACCTCAGTTATGACACTTTTCCATAAGTGAAATATCAAAATTAATAAATTGTGGAAATACAAATACTGTAAAATGTATATTTATATTTTATGTGCGTCACGAAATTTTATCTCTCTCTCAAGTCTTTAAAAATTTCCATAAAGCTTCGTAAACGTAAAGGTGGAAAGTTAAGTACTAAGTAACAATAAAAAAGTTAGTGCTGAAACTTTTCCGTAAATGAGGTAAACAAGTTGGTTCAAGAAGTTAAATTGTTACTTCTTTCCGTATAACTTTTCCTTGTGTAAGCTATCAATACATGCTGGAACCATCAGTCACACATCACTGCTGTTTAAGACCTGTCTCTTGTTTTAAACTTTATTTTTTATTTTTTCCCCACAAAGTAATGTTTGTTTTAAAATATTAAACTTTAAAATTTTAGAAAGTATAATTGATTTTGACATGGAAAATAACTTGTTTACTAGTTTACAAAATTGAAATTTTGGACATGCTAGGAATGATTAAAAAATGTAAAAAAAAAAAAAACTTTGATCTTTCCTCTTTAAAATAACATTTAGATTTTAGACAATAAGGAATTATTTTCGTCAAAATTAAGGCAGTTTTTATTATGCTATGCTCATTTTTTTTTCCAGCAATCTCATGTCTATACCTAGATTTGAGTTAAGGGCACATGTCTTTAAGATTTTTTTTTTTTTTTTTTTTCAGTGAGTAATGAATTTTTACAGGAATTGTTTTTCTTTTTATAATTTATGTATTTTAATTGCTTTGCTCTTATCTGGTCAAGTGATATTAAGTGAACTAATATTTACTAAGGGAAAATTTAAAGCTTAATATAAAGTATTTTCAAGATTTTGAAAATAATTTTAATATTTATGTATATAAAATATTACATGTATCCTGTTTGAAAATATGGCTGACCTTATACATCAGAAAATAAAGCAATGACTATAGTAAATATAAAGTCAACATTAAGATTACTGAGTTTGTTTTATTTATTTATATATATATATATATATATATAGGCATACCCATTTTCTTAAATTATATTTTAAGATTCTCTGTAGACCTGTTAACACTTTATCAGTGCTTAAGTGATTGACAATTGATGAAAGCACATAAATCACTGTTTTAAAAATCCATCTGTTAATTTCAACTTGAAGTAAATGTTTTAAATCCTTAATTATGCTTTAAATTGACTATTATTCCCAAATAAAGTTTCAAAAAAGTATATTTTTCTCAGATTTTTAAAACTGATAATTTTTGTTTACAAATGTCAATTTTACTGAAGGTGACCAAAAAATTGATTCCAGTCAATATAATTTCAAATATGAGTATTTTGCTTACTGGAAATATTTGTTTAATCATTTAGCTTTCAACTGAAACTACAAAAGCTTCAAGAATGCTTTTTCCCATTTTTAAAAATTTGTTTTAGATCTTAAATTTCTGTATTACTTTGTACATTAGGTGATATTAAGTAAAAACTATATACTAATCACAAATGGAAGTTAATACAATTCAACGTCCCCCTCCCAATAAGCTAAAAGGAATTTTGAAATGTTTCTTTGTGTATAAACATGGTAATTTTTGTAAATATGGATGTCCATACACAATACTACTGGAAAATAAAAGCTAATTTTATTCTGTGCATGTTAAAACAAATGTGTATGCTTGCATCAATCATAGGCTTATACTATAATCCACTTACAATTTCAATGGTTTCTAGAGTATATTGGAAATAAATTTGTTTGGTAATTTGCAGATTGGTACTAATAGCTTTTCTTTTTCTTGAATTTAAAATTTTTTAACTTTTTTTTTTTTTTTTTTTTTTTTTTTTCTTGCAGGGGGATTGTAAAAATGCAGAAATTGGGGATTTTGATGTTGAAGACCAAAACGAAAATGAAAAATTGGTTGCTCTGGCCAGGTCCTTTGAGGAAAGATATGTAAGTTTATGCAGATCTTATTGGGGGGCTCATTAGCCAATGAGTTATAAAAATTCTTTAAAAACTTTGTCAGTATATTTAAAATTAATTTCTCATGGGAGTAGTCCATAATTTTTATAAGTGATAAAATGGTTATACACTGATAATCATTTAGGAAATGAAATTGGCATTTTGAATTTTGCTTGAGGTTCTTTTCATTTCACATACATAGGTTTTGGAAAAGCATGAATTCATTTCTTGATTCTCTATATGGCCCTTATGGTAACAATTCTGGAAGATTATGAATTAATGTGAATCTTTTAGGCTTAAAAAGAAATCTGATTTTTGTTAGAAAAAAATCTTATACATACAAGTAATGATGCATGTACATTTGGTAGCATAAGTGTCTTTTAACACTAGTTGAAGTGTTTGAAATAGGCTTTCGATAATTACTTTTACTTAAAAACAATATCAAAATTAAGATAAAATTTTAAGTATTTGTATTGCAATATTTGAAGCATTCTGCTTAATTCCATTAAACAAATGATTCAAATTCTATATTTGAAATCATTAATTTAAGAAAATGTATATCTTTCAACATTACCTTCCAGAATGTGTTTATAGTTTTTTTTTTTTTTTTTTTTTTTTTTTTCTCACTTGACCTATTGGTAGGCTGAGAAAAACTAACATATTTTAATCTTTAAGATTGACATTATTTTTAACAATAGCATAATTAAAACTATAGTTGAACTTTTTTAGTACTAGTTTAATACTCTTTGAACTGCTATGCCTTGATACTTGTAATGTTTTGCTCATTATAATGTGAATTGAAAGCCTGTTTATGCAGCACAGTTATCTTCGGGATATCTTTTCATGTTTAGCAAGTGAAAAGCACTTTCATTTATGAAATATAGAGCAGATACAGTATTCAGAAACTATAACTTTGATAAGTCTGTTAAATTAAATGACTTATTCCCCCCACCCCTGATTTTAACCATTGTTCTCTACTTGATCATGCTTTTTTCTTTTTTCTTATTATTAGGGCCCAAAACACAGCAAAACGCAAAGTAAAAGATGCGATGCCATTCAAGACCTGATTGATTTGGGTGATGGCTATGATGAAACTGATCCTTTTGTAGATAATTCTGAGGCAGTAAGTATAAAACTTTATATCTTAAGCTCTTATTAGGACATGCACTCATTCATTTTAGACTGTTTTAATTTGAATTCATGACTTGTATAATCAAATGTTCTTTTAAAAAAAGTATAACTTGAATAACTGTTTACTATATGTAGTCATGTATAAGCAAACTTCCTGTGTCAACTGCTTATTTTTATTTTTTTCATGACTGATCACAAAAACTCATACTATAAACTAGTATATGTTATTTCATTAATAAAAAATTCTAGTCAATGGCTAGAAACCTCTGAAAGCAAATGTGATTCACCCGATCATACTGATGATTTTTGCCAGTGTTAAATTAATCAAAGTAAATATAAACAACACTCATGTGTGTTTGGTTTGTAAATTAAATAAGCTTATCTAACAAAGTACTTGCTTGCTACAGATAAAATATTTAATTTCTGGATTCCCACTTTCTCTTCAAACTGTATATTCCAATTCCACTAATAAAAGTATGAGTTAGCTTTCCCCATTACCTGTGGTGTGCTTCAAGGCAAGGGGAATGGTCAGTTTGTGTCTACTCCACATGTGCAAAGCTTTACATTTAATCTGAATTGGTGTAATAGTGACCTCACAATTCCCAATGAAAATCTCATGCAAACACTTTTCTTTAATTTATTAAATGTTCATTAGATATATTCAATCCAATAATTCTATTTTGTATGTTTTGTGATATATTTTGGTGAAATAGTAAAATATACATGTTTACAAAAAATAAACATTTAAGCATGCTTTTCATACTAACTAGTTTATATAGAAAACATTCCAAACATCAACATTGGGTAAAAAAAGATGTATTGAAGCAGATTTGTTATTTCATAAATATTAAAATATTTTCTTGATTATTCACATAACATTTTTTTTATTTCAGTATGATGAACTGGTACCTGCCTGCCTCACCACCAAACTAGGTGGGTTTTATATTAACTCTGGTGTATTGGATTTTAGAGATGTTTCTGATGACTCCAGTGATGATTTTGTAAGTTCCCCTATCAAGAAGAAAAAAAAATCAAAGGTATTCCTGTTTAGCATTTTTTTTTTTTTTTTTTTTTCTCATAACGTTATTCACAAGAGTTGCAGTTAGTCTTCATGTATTTCCTGTCTGATGACATAACAAAAGAAAAACAAAGTAATATCTAAATGTTTGACTGTGGTAACAAGCTGAAATCACAAGTTAATCAGGCCAGTTGTACTCATCTAGAAAGTCTGAATTCAAAAGGCACTTGTTACAAGCAATCTAATATAACATCTGTGCATATATAAACTTTATTGGTTGTGTATGTAGTTGTAATACTATATGGGATGTTTGTAAAGGAAATGTTTGAACTTAGGAGCCTTCTGTTGCTTTTACTTGTTTTTATTCTTATAAGCACCACCTTCAGAGTTATTTTATTGATAGCTTCTGCAGTTGTCAAACTTTGTCCTAATTGACTTTTACAGAATCAAGTTATGGTTGGTTCTTTGTCTCTTTCAAGTTAGTTTTATTATTCATCTGAATTTTGATGAAGAATTATTATTATGCACAATTAACCAGGATAAGTTTATCATGTTGCAGTATCATCTGAAGATAATCTTTCAGGATTGGAATATGTAAATTTCTTAAGGATTTTAAGATTTAAAAAATTTTATGCTTAATTTTCACACAAATATTTAATATTTGAAATAAAATTTGACTTAAATAATTTATCAGCAATAAATTTGTTAGGTTGGGTAAAAGCATCTTACAAATGGCAAGATTTTGTATATAAAATTAATTTTAGGTCATGAACATTTTTAGAATTTAAAAAAAATATTTGAAATTTAAAATATACATAAGATACATAATTTCTATGATTTATTTCACAACATTATGGAATGAAATGAAAAATGGTTATTTCTTTTTCCTAAAACAGTTTTAATAATATACCTGTAACTAAGTTGCTGAGGCTAACATGAATAAAGTGATCTGATGATAGTCTGACAAAGTAACTCAGAAAATGAAATTAAAATTATGCCTATTTTATTTTTCTCCACTTTGTTACTATAGTAAAACACAATAAACAAAAGGAAAATACTATACAGTAACCTTAAGATAGTCTGAATTGATGTTAAAGCATTAATTTACCTTGTTTCTGTATTGGGAAATTTTTTTTCTTATGTAACTTAATTTGCTGTGCAAAAGTTTACCAGCCACTGAATGACTCTGATCCCTGAATTTGTTTGAATTTCATAGTTGTTTTGTCATATCCTGCTATGGCAACAGAAAACAACTCTGATTGAAATTAACAATAAGGATACTGCAATAGAAAGGCCTTGAAAAAGAATGCAATGGAAAGGGAAGTCATATTAATACAGTGTGGTAAAGGTTAACAAACTTTATATTTAATAATTATTTTACATACATGGCTAATAACTCCTTTGTAAACAATCTTAAATATACAATGTATTTACTTATATTTTGATTTCAAACATTAACTTTGAAATTTTTAAGAAATTTGACAATTATGTCTCAAGATAAAATCTTTTAACTTAAAAATTTTGTTCTTAGTGTTGCTGGCTAAGTTGCCAGGCGAACTATCTGGAAAAATGACTTTCTGAAAGTTTCTTATACTGTTGTCCTATACTAACACAAGTGTTTTCAGTGTTCTCAACTGTCTTAATGACTTGTTACAAATGTCACAATCATTTTGCTTTCAGAGAGTTATATCTTCAGATACCGAATCAGATGGTGAATTGAAGAAGAAAATTCCAAAAGTAAGCATTGAATATCTTGCTGGAGATGGGCATGCTTACTTATCTTTACTTAAATATTTTTTACAAATAAAATAAACCTGTTCCTTTTTTTTTTTTTTTTTTTTTTTTTTAATACTTTTTTTTTTTTTTTTTTTTTTTTTTTTCCTCTCTCTCAGCTAAAATCTGCAATAATAATTAGAAAAGTTTTCTGGTTGTAATAGGGGGAAGATGCTTAATTACTTTAATATAAAAATTACTTCAGCTATTTCAGTTCTAATACTTGCATAATATAATTCTTTTACAAAAGGATATTCAGCTTTTTTTTTTTTTTTTTTTTTTTTTTTCTTCTAACTATAGCTAAGCTGTTTTACTTGTAGCATAACTTATGCAATCTTAAAAATATTGTTTTTCTTGCATCTTTTCTTTGCCTCCCATCTTACCTGTAACCTTTCCTCCTCTCCTCTCCTCAAAGGGGCTATTTGGTTTTTGTTTGCTTGGATTGCTCTTGTGAAATATTTTTTCTCCTCCCTACTGAATTTAATTACTTTTATTATCCTAGTAATTCTGTATATTACAGCAAAATTTAAAAAACAAGTCATTAACTTCTGCTAATGAATATTAACTTGTTCCATGTGTTGAAATTTTCACAATACTTTGGTTTAAAGATTAATCAGGTAAAAACTTAGAAACATGGCAGCAGTGACAATGGATGATTGAAATACTTCGGATAGTGAGGAAGCATTAGGATGATGTCTTCTGTCCACAAATTTATGTACATGGATATTTTAAGCTTTAATTTGAGAATATATATTTTTTTTTTTTTTTTTTTTTTTTTTTTTTTTTGTGTGTTTTACTGTTTTGGTCTAAAATACACTGAGGTAGGGGGACTTAAATTATTTCTGGGATGTTAAGTTGCAATGCATTGGTTACATGACTGGCAATTGGAGATAAGATTTATCAAACTGATTTCAATGTATTTTACTTTATATTGCTGGTATTTTTAGAAACTAAATACTGCAGAGACTAAAATGTATCTACCCTTATTTTATTTATAATTGTGCTTTTAGTTTTTCTATAAATAAAAACAATTTGTTCAAAAATATCTTAACTGACCGCTTTAGTTTTCTCTTACAAGTTTTGGTTTCATTGGTTTTTTTTATAGATAAGAAAGTTGAAAGATGGGATAAATAAAGAAAGGCGAAAAAAATCAGCTGGAGATAAAGAATTCAAGAAACCCCGAAAACCTACTAATAAGGACTTATTAAGGTATTGCCAACTGAATAATTCAATCTGAACTGGTTAATATTTTTGAAAGTTTTCACTTTTGTTTTTCTTTTTTTTTTTCCTCTTCAGTTAACCTGCCTTTGAGAAATGTCTTATGACTGGAATATTATGATTGGCAGTAGTTGTAATGTTTGTTTCTAAAATAATTTTGAATTTCTCATCACATCTTCACTTTTTCTACAATTTCAATTTATTTCCCTTAAGTGAGCTTTTCATCTGAACTTTTAATATTTTCTTGCTCCTTCTCAAATTTTGCATAACTCCTTAAGCCTATTGATATTTCTGCTTTAATTCTATTTTTGTCTGACACGATTTATAGCGCACAAACTAGAAAATAAACAAGGTTGTAAAAACTTCACTGGATAGTGATATCAGTTAAACTTGTTTCTATGGCTACTTAAAAAAAAAAAAAAAATTGTATAATAGCAACAAGCCTCATTAATCTTTTATAGCAAAACCAAGCTTGCTTGGCAATAAATGGCTTAAAAAAACTTTCATTAGCACTATACTTGTGATACAATAAGATGCTTACTTGCTGTTACTCAATGAGCAAGCATCATGTTACCATAAGTGTATAATTTAAAAAAATAAATGTAAAACTTACTTGATCTATTAAATAATTTTTCATTTTCTTATGTGCTTGTAACTTTTTTCAGAAAAAAGCCTTCTTCTACAGTGAAAGAACTTCTTAAGCAGCAAACTGTCACTACTACCCCTATTAGTCCAACTACTCCTACTCCTACTACTACCTCGGCATCTACCTCAAATAATGGCCATACATCTGATCCCAATGGCAATACCTACTCAGTTACCGCTGCTACTGCAGGTCTCCTATCTCAAGACAAGTCATCTAGTAGTAGTTCTGGGTACATGGGAACAGTTCCTGTAGTAAATGCAATACCAAGTGGTATACAAGAAAATGATGCAATTAAAATGGACTCTGTGTTGACAGTCAGTCGGCCGTTCAATAATGTCAAGGAAGATTCTAATAGTAGAGATGCAGACAAGCCCCTTGATCCAGAAAGCATTCCAAAATTGTGTGACGGGATACCAGATCCCTTGGAGAAAACGATCAATCAATTAAAACAAGTAAATACTTTTCTCCTTTTTTTTTTTTTTTTTTTTTTTTTTTTTTAAGGACTCTTTAAACTTTAAAGATTTCTTGTATTCAAAAGTGGTACAAGCCTTATGTCTTTGATTTGAGATAAGCATCTTTAGTTATGCCACTAAAAGTGAACTTCCTGATTATTCCTACTTTGACATCAGGTAATTTTAGCTTAGACTGGTCATGCTTAGATTCTCAAAATATAATCCTAATGAGCTAGAAATTTGAATTAATACTTAGTTGCATTTAAATATCTAAGGTTCATTAATTCTGTTTGGATAAACTTTATGAAATCTCTGAGCAAAGGTATCAGCATGAATGATTAATAACTTAAAAATATATATCTAATTATAGTGTGATACCATAACTGATTTAATGCTTGACTTTCAAGTTTTTAGTATGTTTTAATTTCTTTAAACTTTATTTTTTCAGGCTGCTGAAGATAGTGTGGAGGGAAAGTGTAAATTTTTTACATCTGAAGTCAACAAAATGCTTTTAGAGTAAGTAACTTTTCCTACTTTCAGGTTGTTTTTATTAATTTAAGTTATTACATAAGTGAAACTTTGTCTGTTAACTATCTAGCTTCCTGCCACTTTTTTCTTTTTAAAATTACCCAGCATCTTGTACCATGTTTGTGCCTACTTTGCAGTAGGAATTACTTGTGCTTGTTAATTGTATCTTTTGTTTAAAGATTGTTTAATACTCAATAGCTGATCTTAAAGTAAAAGAATAGACATTGAATAAATGAAGTGCTTATTGATCAGTGTCATTTCTAACCTATAAAATGTTTTTATGTATTATACCTTTTATCCTAATTGTGTGTGCCTGTGTAACATAATGCAAGTTGAACTGGCATGGAAGATGTATGATAGATGAATGCACTCTGCAATATTTAATCTTGCTATGCAACATATGCTGAAGTCTTTACAAGATAATTTACTTACCAAGCTAAACATTAAAAATCTGTAACCAATTGTGTGTGTGTTTAAAAATGATTCCTTCGCTACATAAGTTCATGTTTCAAAAACGAGAGCCGAAACCATCCAAATAATTATTAAAATTAAGTTGAATTGGTGTTTAGTCCCATTTCATCTTCAAGCGAAATTTTAGGAATAAGATAGCTTATTCTTAAAATTTCGCTTGAAGATGAAATGGGACTAAACACCTCAATTGAACTTAATTTTAATAATTTGGATGGTTTCGGTTCTTGTTTTTGAAACAGAACTCTTATGTAGCAAAGGAATCATTTTTAAACAAAAAAAATATTATAATAAAGCTATACTTCTGTATAGAGCACCGTCTTAAAAATAAAAGTACTAAGGATCTCCGGATTATGCACCCAACATGTTCTTTTCTATTTTTTGCATACCTGCGCACACATGTATCTATATCTATATCTATATATCTATATCTTTTTTTTTTCTTCCTTCTCTGGACATGTACTGTGACATTCAAATTGTATAGTTTGGGTTCCCTAATCTCTTAAGTCCCTTTATGTGAAGGATCATAAAGAATGGTGAATTTAAAAGGAAATAAAAATTGTGCACGGAATAAATGTAAACAAACTAGATATCAGTTTCATATACAAAGAATCGTTGTCAAATAACGAAATTTTATAAATTTTATAAATTGTTATAACTTGTAGGACACTGAAGGTAAAAGGCCAAAGCCCTCCAGGAACTAGCTTAATCTCCCCAAAGGGAAGCTTCTCAGCTAGTATATAACTCACTAATTTCCCCATTACAATAAAACTGCATATTTCAGTTTACTTAAGGATTGTTTAAGTAAATATTTAAATATTCAGTACAAGTAAACATCAAATTGATTTTTCATTAGCAACCTTAGCTTATTTTAATCCATGTCACATCACAAATACTCTAACAATTATAGAGCCAGCATGTATTGCTGTTTGTTCATTGTTATACCATAATTACATATTTGCATATTTATTAGAGTATACTATATTACAAAAATCTTCAATGCTAAGAAACAAAATATACAAATCTAGTCAGTCAACAGATTTTGTAATATTAATGCACCTATAATTCACTGACTTGGTTTTCTACCAGAAAACTACACATGAAATGTAAATGTGACACTTTCTCACATCTAGATTTTTTTTTTTTATATATATATATTTAAACATAAAGCAAAACCTTAGAATTGGGTTCCAAAAGTATGCTAGTTGGGCAGCCTTAGAATGGCTTTACTATTGCAGACTTAAATATCTGCTTAAAATAGTCATGCATCTAAATGTTTGACTATTTCTATAATAAACAAAGCTATATATGTATATATATATATATTAGTTAATGGTCAGTTGAATAGTATTAAAATGTGCTCAATACATACTTAAAACTTTGACAAAGCTTTAAGTATAAAAAAAAAAATGATCAGACGATTTTGGTCAAGAAAGGTTGTCTCTAACATTTACAGACTAGAGTTGGTTGGTTTGGCAATTTTTCGGTATTGATTTCCGATATTTTCCTGTGATGCTGCCATTTTTAATTTGGTTTTTCGATTTTAATTTAGTATTTTCACTTTCTAAGAAAGCCATTTTATTTTCTTGTAATTTCAACTTGCAAACTCCCTGTATTTCAGGTCCAATATTCATGACTGAAAAGAAAATCTTTCTAAATATGTAATTTGTATGTTTTTATTCATTGAATTACATTTTTTACAGTGCATCAAATTTTTTTTTTTTTTTTTTTTTTTTTAAATTTTACACGTTACCTTGTCTTGCAAAATCAACGTGACAAATCTTTAGCAATATTCTTGAAAATATACACTAAATCTTCTAATTTAGAAGACCCCTTAAGCTGCAACCAGGAAGCAAATTCCTTCAAAAATTATAAAGTAAGCAGCAAAAAAAACTGATAGTATGTGTGGTAAAAAACTTCAAATTATTGAAATTTGTGCCCCCCGTATTTCATGCTTTTCAATTTTGAGTTTTTTTCTCATTTTCCCCTCTTTGAAATGTCTGTCATTGTGGAAGTCTGTTAACTGGTGCATAAGGGGTCAATATTTGGTTTTAAAGGGTAATAAAAATAGACTACTGGAATTGAAGACCCAAAACCTGTGAATCAGGGTGGGTAATAAAGTAGGAATTGTTCACCTAAAGTCCTTTTTTAGGCTTTAAAGGTAATTTAGTCATAGAATTCATGGCTTGGATTAAAGTTTATTAACTTTCGAATAAATTAACTATAAATTACCTAATTAACAAATTGGTAAAATATGAAAAAAATCATTGCATAAAATATCTTTAACACATTTTTGAGAGAAAATGGTATAGCTCTCCAGAAATTAGTTTGACTTTTTAAAAAGCCAAATTAAATTTGTATATTTCCAAATCTGCAAGTATCACCTGTTCTTTACACATTTTAAAACCGAAATTAAAAAATTTTATTTTAATATTTAATCTAAGTTTATTCGCTAGATAAAACTACAAAGATTTGTAAAAATAAAATGAATTTTCTTTGTTTAGCAGAATTTTATAGGCAGAATAGTAACAAACACCCATTGAATGATAGTGGCTAAAAAAAATAATTTTTACTTCCATTTTGAAACAAAATGACCTGCAGTTTGGAAAATATACACATTTTAAAACTGAGATTAAGACTTATTTTTTTAATATCTAATTTTAGGTGTGTTCTCTAAATAGAAACAATTTTACTTGTAGAAAGCAAACATTTTTACACTAGTGACTAGACTTTCATATCTGGAAATATACACATTTTAAAAGTGAAATTTAGAACTTTTTAATTGTTCTTAATATCTAATTTAGGTGCATTGCCTAGATAAACATTAAAGACCTTCATTCATTTTTCTGACTTATTTTGTGATTAGCATATACTAGCTTACTAGAAAACACTTACAAAAAATCCAACTTCATAACATTAGCAACTAATTTATTTTTATTTGCTATTTTAATTTAATTTTACCAGTCTTTTTTGCAAACTGAAACAAATCTATTTTCATTTTTCAATTTGAAAACCTGATTTCCAAGTGTCCTGTCGTATTTTCTTTTGTAAACATAGATTTCACATTTCTTAAAACTAGTGAATTAAATGTAACTTTTTTTGTTCAATCTTTTTTTCTTTTACAATGGTATAAATGTTGATAAAATTTAATTTTAACATCACTCTTTTCAATAGTTTCTTTGGATATGGTCACTCAGTGATATAAAAATTAAAACGCTTGCATTTTTACAAAATGCAGTTTCATGGTGTGAAGATGAAGCCACAAGTTTTTTGTAAATTTTAAGTTCATAAGTGAGATGAAAAAGGACATATTTCATTTAATCCCCCACAATACATTTCCAATATATTTGCTCCCCCTCCCCCAACTGCTCCTCCTCACCTTCTAGCACACCTTACATCATGCACTCATTATTTCATTTATTTTTAAAAATAGCATTGATATTTAAATTTAAAAAGTTAAAATCAAGATAGAAGAATTGGCTGATTGCATAATTTTTATACTCTTACCAGATGAAATATCCCATTTTTGCTAGACACTTCTGAATTAATCAGACTATCCAGCAATTGATAAAATGCAACAGAAATAATAAATTTGAATACTAAAATATTCAAATACTACTAAATTGAAAATGATTTGAACTTGAGAAGCTCTTGTACACTAAAATTTTAATTGGTATTTATTTTTTTTTTTTTTAACAATTACTGTATTATCTGTATACTGAAATTTTCAATGACTTTCAGATCTTATGCTCATAAAGTCTTTGGTTTCTCACATCACTATTCCATATTTTAAAAAGCCTGTTAAAATGTAATGACAATTTACATAACTTGATAGTTTAAAAAAAAAAAAAAAGTTTTGTATTTACATGTATTGTCCTCATCTTCATGTTTTGGTTGTGCCCTCTGGCCTTCATTGTGTGTATTGGGGATGGGCTGTCTTTTGTTCCACTACACATATCTTTGGATATCTAGTTTTTAGTCTTGGTACTGTTCAGTTATTGCTTGCTGTGTTCCCAAGTACACTGTCAGGCCTAGGAATTGAACTCTAGTACTGTCACCAAATTCACAAACCAATACTCTAATCCACTAGGCTATTGTTCTACATGTATATAGTGTCAACTCATCAGTCTTTAAATTCTTTGCTTGATATAGTACTTGTATAATACAAATAAAATCTCTGTTCAATTTGCTTTGGCAGGATTGAGACAGAATCCCGTCTCTTGAATTGTTCTCAAAGGTCATCAGTATATGCCCATCTAGCAGCATTTCTGCCCTGCAGCAAAGAGACCTTGCAGAAACGTGCCAAGAAATTGATACTAACTCAACAGGATGACAAATTGAAGGAACCAACCCAAAGACTAAGAGATGGTGAGTATTTCTATTTGTTTCTAATTTCTTAAGGACTGAGTGACTTTTGTGTCATGACTTCTTTGATTTTACAATTTTCATACTCTTCAAGATTATAGCAATAAGAGATGGATAGTGTTGTTTGCCATTCCATAAAAATGCAAAATTATTGGACAGGTGAAGTAAGTTTCTAAGGATAAAAACTCAATTCCAGTCATCTTGTGCCTTGAATAATCTTCCTCTATAAACTACTGAATTTGAAACTTATAAACTGCAAAAAAAATTATTTAAACTACATAACTTGAACCACAAATCTCTCACTTTTTAGGTTTGATTGACTTCCCAAAATCAAACCCAACCTGGTTAGGTTGAGAATTTTTCAAGTTGTTTCTCAAATGATGGTTGGGCTAAGACCTTTCAGCACCTACCTATATATATATATATATATATATATATATATATATATATATATATATATATATATATATTATATAATTCTCAGAATGTGGTATTGAATGTGATATTGAATTTCACCCAATATATTTTTATTGCTTATGATTTATACCAAAGTCTGCATTTTACATAGGAATGAGAAGTATTTCCTTTACCACTTTATTATACAAGGAAATAAATATAATTTTTAGTCTTCATTTGGTTTATTGCAGAAATATTTTTAAATGAATCATGAATGTTGTACTAGACCATTACTGCACTTGAACTTTTGAAACTGGATTTTGGTAATGGCTAATCTCAAACTATCTAGTTTAGGATTGATTATATGTATATATATTTCCATTGAAATCATTTTGGAAATGCATTACATTTTACATTATCTGAAAGTAACTTTTTTTTTTTTTTTTTTTTTGCCAAAACGACTTCATACTGTGCTACTTTCAAGATTTCCTTTAAAAGTTTAGGCATATAATCTATCATTTCAGGTAGTATACAATTGTCCACTTGTTATAACTGTCTGAGAAAGCTTAACCCATTTAATCTGTTGTACTAGCTTATTAGGATAGTGCTCTGGTAACCAGCTACCATAGCATTGGTAAAAGTATGCACCTCCAATGTTGTCTATAAAATAGGTTAAAACCTGGTATTCAGTGAAGTGTACTTTTTTAAAATGGTTGCTAGAAACTTGAATTATTAATGTAGCACAGGAAAAAGGAACTTGCATATTCAATTGAATGGTCTCTCTCTTATTCTTTGTTTTCTACGTTCACAAGTAATGGATATTCACATTAGCAATAAAGGAGCATTTTAAAATACCTTTATGGTAAACAAATTGGAATATCTTAAATTCCGGCAATGGGCATGTTTTAATTTTGAGTAATTACTATTCTCTAAAAATGTCACTTGGCAGATTTTATAAAGTTTTAAAACCATCAGTCAAACAGTAATACTAAAGTCAAATATTTGGAGAAAAAAGTTAATTGAATCAGCAAAACTATGGATATCAAAGGATCTTAGTACCTTGTAACTCAAAGAATCTTACTACTTAATGTTATTTTAAGAGCAACCCATTAAAATTGGAAATGCTATTCCTTATTTGTAAATCAGGTATCTATAATTAAAATTGTATGAATTTTTTTTTTTTTTTTTTTTTTTTTTTCAACCCCATTAAGTTTAAGAGTGGTTGGGTGATTATTGGATTTTAAACCTCTTTGTACCTTTTTTAGCCATTGAAGCAAATAGATCTACATGTTTGACACGTGCATGAATTCAGTTTTGTTGGTGTGTGATCTGTTTTCAAATTTGTAAGCCATTTAAGCACAACTGAAAAGAAAATAACTTGGGACACAAGTATGCACAAATTTACATGAAAACTGCATGTATGTTGTCTCTTAGTACATTTTGTACTAAAATTTTGCATAATAGCGCTTGTTATTGCGTCTATGCATTCAGTACTTGGTGCAAAGATTTAAAAAAAATTAAACTTTGCACAAACTCCTAAAATTAGACTGAAATAGTTGGATTTTTTTATTATAAATCTTGTATAAATCTATGAATTTGTTTACTTTATCTGCATTTAATACTAAAAAAAAAAATCAATTTTAAAAGTTTAAATTTTTAATGTTTCTAAAATAAAATCTAAATGTCCTGGAAAAGTTAATGATTTGGGCAAGAAATTTATTTTTATATCTTTAAATTAACAATTTTACTTATGGTATTGTCTAGTCATAAAATGACTAAATATACTGAAATATAATTGCCAAATGTTTTCTATAAGAAATATAGTCTACACTTTAACTTAGAATCTTAGGGAGACTTTTTTTTTTTTTTTTTTTTATTTGAATGAAATAATTATTTTTGATAGGTTTTGACTATCTTGTAACTTTTCTACATTTTAATTAACCAGTGAAAGTCTTAACACCATGGTCAGCTTATTTCATAATGTATGGCTGTGTACTCTAAGTACTATAAATTAATATGCTATTATGTACCTTTCAAGAACTTATCCTTTCATATTAAACACTTTATTTTTTTGGAATGGCTTTAACAATCACCTTGGCTTTACTAACAAAGATTCAAATGACAAATTTTAGTCACTCAGTCCTTTCAAAACCACCATATCCTCCTTCCTTTACTATTCCATTTTTCTGTTTCTGATTGAAAAACTGGCTGTCTAGAAATTAGATCAGTGTAGATATTTTACACCTTATCAAATAAGCTACTTAACGATGACTGAAAGTGGCTGTTTAAAAAAAAAAAAAAAAAAAAAGCAGCTGGCCTCATCCGATGACAGGAAATATGGTAGATATTGCCATACACATTCTCTTAAAACACAGCAAATGCAAACCTTTGCTGTTTGCAACATTTTGTCATGTTCTTGACAGTTTTATAATTTAACTGGTGAAGGACTAAACCTTCAGCCTATTTTAATGACATGAGCTGAATTCTTACCTTTTCCGCCTAAGAAATACTAACTTTTCTTCCTAGTGAAATTTTGAATGCTTTACATCAGTTTTACTGGAATCAATTATTTTAATCCTGTTAACTATGAAAATCAAACTTAAAACTGTTTGATTTCAAATTGTAATATAAGATTATAGTTTATTTTCAATCTTTTCTGCTTAATGGTTATAATATCAAAAAATAAATGAGATTAAGGTAAAATATTAATTCTAACTTTTGGATATAAAGTGATTTTATTACCAATACCATTTGTTAATCGATTTGAGACCCGCATAGCTGAAACTAATGAAGAGAATAGCAGAAATTTTATAACTTAGGCTTGATTATGGAATAACTTGTAGCAGGCTCATAAATGTTGACCTATTATAATAGGTAAAGCTATTTGAACTCAGTGTTTTTAGTTGATGATAAACGTTTAACTTAATAGGCCTTAGAATAAGTTTGAGTAAATGGATGCTAAAACATTAAATACATGGGATATTAAGTAGACTGACTTTGCTTACAGCCTACAAAGGATAGGCAGTTTTTGAGGGCCATGATCGCTGTTTTGAAGATGGAACATAAATTTGTTTTATTATGGGGATGGATTTTTTATACTTACTCAGTTTACTTTTACAATAGCCAATATAATTTGAGATAGATATGTGTGTGTGTGTGTGTGTGTAAAAAAAAAAAAAAAAAAAAAAAATTTAGAAAAACAGGAAAATTACCTGTTGTTGAATCACTGTTGATGCAGCATTGGTGTCCCTACTAAGAAATTGCTGATAGACCACCACAATATAGAGATGACACATAACATTTGTAATTTTCTAAAATGATTCCTTTATTACAGTTTGAATATTTTCATAAGTTTAGAATTTTTATGCTTAATTTTGCTTAAATTATAAAAACATTTGGAAATCCACTGAATAGGTAGTGATGGACAAAATATTAAACTGATAGACATTTGCTTAATTTCAAGTTCTCATTTCTTAATTACCTAAGTTTAATAAGTAAAGGGTCAAGATGAAGCATTGATGTTTTGATTGAATTGTGGATAAAATTGTTAGTGTTTAACTTTCATTTTATATTCTGTTGAAAAGTACTTGAAGTTTGAAGATTTGTATGCTTTCTGGCATGATTTATAAATTACAATTTTTAGTGCATATTTTTTCTAGATTATATATTGATACTTTCAGAGTAAACCTTCAATATTTTCATTTATCACTTTGGGATACTAGACATGACATGGTCAGACCTGCCAAGGTTTTGAATATTTTGGATGATTCTCTTATGCCACTCAGCAGCACCATGATTAAGACATTTACTTCTCATTCTTTCCCACAATTATTTTCTCTATACTATCTTTGTTCAAAATGGATTTTCTTCCAAAGCAAATTTACTGTTTTGAGTTAAAGTACTTTGAAATGAAGAAATTGCTAACATCTTAAATTTTATTTCATCTGATACGGACAAATTTAAAAAATTTAATGATTCATTCAAAGAAATCTCATTGTGGGGAGATATCAAGCACCAAAATGTAGATTTGGTAAATCTTTTGACATTAATACAAGTTAGAAAATCATGTTTGCTCCCACATAGATATATAGTTGTAGCCTGTGTTTCTTTATCAAACTCCTAGGGTTTCAGAGATATACACCATAACCATATATATTCTGAAACTACATTACCCAGGGTACTTGGATAAGTGTTATTTCCTTTTGATCAAAGGGTGACGCCACCCAAATCACTGAATTTTTTCCTTGATTTAAATTAAATTTAAAGGGAATTCTTCTCATCCAAAATATAGAAGGAGAAAGCCAGAAGATGGAGGTCACATCAAGATCATTGAGTAATAATGAAATGCATCATTTTTTTTTCCTCAAAATTATAAAATGATTTTTCCTTTTTAAAGGAGAAAGACACAGCAAAGTGTGGGTAATTCTGTTTTTATAATAGCAAGGCTTACAATTGTTGCCATGTACAACTTATAGCAATTGTTTATATTCAACTCTGAACAATTTTGATAATGCTGCATTGGAAGATGTTTATACATGTTCTAAAATACATTTAGAACAAATTAACAATATTTCAATTATATTGAGTTTGATAAAAGTTAATTGAGAATCTTATTTGTGTGGCTTTTTATCTGATTTTATTTGAAAAAAAAATATGCAGCACAAAACATTGAAAAGACCAGAAAGCAATGCTTTAAAACTTTTATGTTAAAAAAAAAAATTATGGATTTTGTTGACTACTTATGAAAGTTTAGTAAGTTTCCATTTATAATTGCTAAATTAATAATTAAAACCTTCAGGTTAAACTCTCCTATTGTCAGTAACATAAGTCAAATTATGTCTAAAATCAAGAGATAATTATACTATTTGAATTAAATGAAGTTGTGTGTAGTGAACACTGAGTAGTTAATTTGTTTAAAATAGTCTACTTTTGAAATTATTCTCTGCCTGCAAAACCTTCATTACTACTTATTTCAGATTAATATTGAATATTCAACATATGTTGCTGAAAAGTAAGCTTCAAAAATAGCTGTCATTTATGATGCATTCTGAACACATCTTTTTACTACAGACACACATTAAAGAATTCTAAAAGATAGCATTTGGCTTATCTTGTCTTAACTATAGCCCAGTAATGGCTGAACCTTAATAGAACTAATACAGTAAACTTTTGATGCTTGAAATGGGCAAGGCAAAACTTCCTCTAATACTCGAGGATTTAAAATGTTTTTTTATAAATATTCCTACTCATTGTTTCCTCCTCCAAAACATTATCTGACTCGAACCATTGTTTAAATTTTTTTTTTTTTTTTTTTACTAACCCTGTACATTAAACTTGTTAATCTGGAGTTGCAGTTCATACATGGTAAGTATTTCTGAAGTTTGAAATTTTCACTTGAATTATGAGAAAAATGTAGTGAGGAGGACTTTGTTAGTAAATTTCCATGTGTGGCATATTGCAAGAAATTAACAAGTCTTGTAAGCTGCAGTTTCAGTGCCTCTACTATAGTTCTTTACTTGTATAAAGGCAAGTGAATATAGTGCACATAAATTATTTCAATGCACAAAGACTTTGGTAAATTGAAATTCATATGAAATTGTATGAACGATTTTGAAATCTTATTACATTATTGAATATGTATGCGAAAAGATTCACTTCATTTTTTTTTTTTTTTTCCCTAATGATTAATCTAGACTGTGTATACCGCTTTATGGAATACAAGGTAACAGATCTTGCTTTTTTTTTTTTTTTTTTTTTCTTACAAGGCCCGTTTTTCTTGCCTTTTTCTTTTTTTTCTTTTTAAATTCCTTAACTTTTTCTACATCTTGTTTTTTCTCTTGATAGCACTCCTTTGCTTTTCTCCTCAACTAATTTCTATGCCTCTTATACAGCACCAACGTAGATAAGCTAAGGAAAAAACTAAAAATTGGCTGTTTAGTTGCATCAAAGTTTAACAAGCAGAAAAAAATTTTCCCTGCAGTATTTAAGATAATCCCATGGACTATTTTAATTATCTGATAGATATATAAAGGGAATGGCGTAAAATCTGCGTACACAAAAGGAGTATGAGTGATTATATTGAAGGAATTTATATTACATAGAAATCTCAATATGTTCTGCTTGTAGCTATTAATGAAGAGATGCCTGCCCAACTTGAGAAGTATAAGAATGAGTACCATGGGACTTCTCTGGAAAACCCCAATCCGTAAGTGTTCTTCATGAAATTTTCTAAAACGGTATTTTATAATTGTTTTACAAATCGTATAACACTTCGGACATGCTACTTGTACTATTTCGCTTATTTTTTTTTAACAAAAATTCACGCGTTAAATTATAGTATTAAAGGTTGATAACCAGTTTATTTTCTTTTCTTTTATTTTTCATTTATTTACTTAAATTTTTTTTTTTTTTCCTCCGCCCCCACCTAAGGGGAAAAAAAATTGAAAATGGGCCCAGGATTTTATTTTGAATTTGCGTTATGCGTTAATTATGTTGGTATCCATTTTCGTCTTTGTTTTATAGTTATCAGATTTCGGTCATTTGTTTTAGTTTGAATTTTTTAAGTTGGGCTGTTATTATCTATTCTGATGTGTTGTTGCTGTTTTTTTTTTTTTTTTTAATAAATCTCATTAAGTTAAAAACACTGGTTTTTCTTTCTCAATATCAATTCTTTTAATCTTTTTAATTGAGCAGAACCACTGATAATACTGAGATGAAAGAAGAGGGGTCTACAGAAAGTGATGAAGAAAAATCTACAGAGAGTGACATAAGTGAGAAAAAATGTGTTATAATAAAGAAAAAGTTTGAGTGGAATGATAAAATAAGGTAAGAATTTTATTTTTCTAAAGATAAGTGGTTTTGGTCTGAAGATAATGTAAGGTTTTTAAAATTGATGTGTATAAGGGAACACTGAAGCCACACAATCATTCTGGATACTAACTCTATAAAATCCAATTAAAGCTTATCTGAACATGCTAATAGATATATTGATGATAATGGCTTTTTCAATTATAACTTGTGTAAGTGCAGCATTTTTTTAATTTTTTTTTTTTTTTTTTTTTTTTTTTTATACAATTTATGCAGATTCAGTTGAAAATGAGTTTTTATATTGAATCCTTCTATAGGACAATATTCTACACTATATACAATGTATGTTAAAATGTGGGTGGAAGTAATTTTGTTAGATGTTGCCTGTATTGTGCCTAAATATTGTTATATGTTAGCATGTTGTACGAGTTAAATTTGTCTCTGATCTGTCTCATGAAACCTATGGTGTTGTAACTGTTTCCTTTATCCTCACTCCAGTTTTGTTTGTTTTTGTTTTTTTTCTATACAAGTTTTGAAATTTTTACTTTTAACATTTGGCAATATTTAGATGCTCTGTGTTGTCTTTTTTATTTTTTTCTTCCTCCCTCCTCCTTGTAAGTTCATGCAATTCCTCTTCAGTAAAGCTTTGGTAATAATTCATGCTTATAGAAGGGATTGAGGCTAAACCAAATTTGATTAAATTTGGATCTGGAGTGCTAAGTTTAAAAATGAACACATTCAGGAGCTTCAATTAGTATACAATGTTGCATGACAAATTGGATGACAATTTTTTTTTTGGGGGGGGGATATAGTAATCATGCCAAACAGTCTTGAATTTTCTCTTAGACTGACTGCCAACCAAGGCTAAAGAGTAGTCTGCCTTGCTATTTAACTTGTCCGGATGGAAAAGATAAAATAAACTTTTTACCATTGGTAATCAGCCAGGATCTTAACATTTTATATGGTTAGAAAATTGTCCAGCTATTAATTTTCATGTGTCTACTTGTTTAGCTACACTTTGTATTTTATTAAATGCTAATGTTTTCAGCACAACTAAATTGGTCCTAGAAAATAATTGTAAATATTTGCTTGAAGTATTTAAAGATTTTTTTTTTTTATATAGATATTTTGGGGATTTCTACTTCATTCTTGTTGAAGATTGATCATTTGTTTTTAAAACTCCGTCATTATCTTTTGATGCAAGGAAAAGGTTTTAGTAATTTTTTTTTTTTTTTTTTTTTTTTAATAAACTGAGTTTTTTGATGGAACCATAAAATGTTAACTTATAATTCTTGTTATATATAACTTCGTTTCACTTATCAACTGGGGGCACCTGCAAAAAAAAAAAAAAGAAAAGCTTATTCAAGACGAGTCTTGGCAATACAGAACTTCATATAAAGGAGTAGAACAATAATAGTAATAAATAAAATGGTTTTTCTCTTATAAATCTGTATTCAGTTTTAGAATTTTATATATTTATACTCTTCCATCTCACAAAATTCTGCTAGGGATTTAAAAAGTAAAAAATAAAAAAAAATAAATCTGTACAAATTTTTAAAAGATAAATTGCTTATATTCCTTCCTTGCATTTTATTTAAATTAACCACGCTTTAGTTCTAGCCTTAGTAGTTGATATCTTAAGTTTTCTTAGATAACTTCTGTTTTGCAACACTCAATATTTTTGGTATTTTTTTTTCTTTTTTCTTGTGTGTTTTTATTTTTTTTTTTTATTTTGTCAATTTTCTTTTCTTTTTTTTTTTTTTTTTTTTTTTTTTTTTTTTTTTTTTTTTTAAGTTTTTCTTTTTGTTGTAAATGTTTCTTTTTTTAATTTCTCCAGATCGCTACTTTGTGATATAGTTAAATTGAAACTGGAATCTTATGGCATGTCAAAATTAAGGGCACAGTCTGCTGAAGAATATTTGAAGTCATTCCTAAAATTGGAAGTTAAACCTCTTTGGCCTAGAGGATGGATGCATGTCAGGTAAATTTATAAACATTCCATGTTGGAATCACTTCACGCTTACCTTCATTTAACATGTACTCTAACATTGTTATGCTGCACTAATTAGGCCAAATATAATCGTTTAAAAGTTAGTTACATTTTAATTTGAAATTACTTTTGTAACTATAAAATTTAATATTAAAGTGTTAATTCTTATTTCTAGGTATCTGTGTAGGAAAATTCTGGAGAGGAAGAAAAAATTTTTTCTTTGATATTATTCAAGTTTTGAGTATTATCCAAAACATTTCTAAATCGCCTTTTTATATTTTTACACCCACTTGGATTTTTCAGTTTCATATTTACACTTGCATAACCCATAAAGTTGATACCTTTCCTTTAGGTTGGTTAGTTTCTATTTAAGTTGCAAACAATTTCAGAAATTTTAGCACCAACTAAAAACTGACAAAATTTTATACTAACAAGTCTGATAATACCAATTTAATTATTTTATGAAAAATAATGCACCTATATAAACTAGTAAAAAAAAAATTTTTTTTTTTTAACGGAAAATTGGCAGTACATTTAATATCGTTTATGCTCCACCTAAAAATAGTTTTAATATTTATGTATATAAATTACTGCTAAATATATTTTGCTCTAATAACACTATTGCCCCTAATTTCTAATGACATGCCAAAATTGTTATGTTATGTTGTCATGTTATTTGTTATACCATGTTATAATGTCGTTATATCATGCCTGTTTTGCTTGTGTAACACGTTTTCAGTATGGTCTGACAAGGTAAGCTATTAACTTTGTGTACGTCTTTTTATAATGAAAATTTGCATAAGGGTTCTTAGCTGCGTTATGGTGATTAAGGATTTAATGGGTAAGAATTCAACTGTCAATGTTATTTTCATTATTTGGCTTCCAAGTTACATTTAAAAATTGACAAGTGTTAGTGTGTGATGCATTTGAGTTTCTTTAATTTGGTAATCTGTTATATAATAGCTTCAATTCAGCTTTGCATCCCTCCCCCTCTAAATGTCTCATTCTAATATTCAGTTTTAGCATTTATAAAGTCCTGAATGAGACTGTCCAGCAAGGCCTTTGATCAGGAGATTGGAAGTCTTGAAGAGCATGGAACTTGTACTTAACTGCTGTTCAGAGTTTACCCTGACCTTTGGTGATAGCACCTGTTAGGGTTCCAGCTATGGACAAATGGTGAACCCCCGCAAGCAAAACACTATGAAAGTATAAAAATACCAGCAATACATTTTATACACTTTTTATTATTATTAACAACAAAGAACTTTCATGGCATTATTCTATATTTTATCCTGCAATTTCTTAAAATCAAACTGTATGCTACAATATAAATTCAAAACTAAATAAAACATCACTGCCTCTAGTAATTATGTCCACACAGACATCTATGTACAAAGGCCGAGTCATCTACCATGTATTCAATTGTGGAGAAAGAGAATGTCATTTTTATTACTTCAAAGCTCCCAAGACAAATGGCACTAAATGAACCATAAGGAGTTAATCAAATCCGTTATACATAGATGCTGAAAGAAATATTAAAATGATTATCAAACTAAAGATACTTGTGTGTATCAACCTATTGTTATTGGTGAAATACATTTTTGCATACATGATACAAAAAGTGGAGCATTGCTGGATTTTCTGTTGCATTGCAATGTAATACTATATTGTAAGTATTTGCTTTCATTACAGCAACTGTTATACAGCTCTTATATATTTTTCTCCCTCACTGTTTTCATGTTAATTGTTGCACATTCCAGGAGAATAAAGCATGACTGGATACTGATTAGTTAATGTAACTAATGCCACCCTCTCCCTTATATATATATATATATATATATATACTCTGAGATTTTAAAGATTTTTCTTGGGTCAGGAACTTTTCACTGCCCTCTTCATCTGTCACATAAATAACATTCTAAGATTTTCATTGAAGAATTCCATGTTTGTTTCATTAAGGTTTGATATAGTGTATACCTTAACTCCCCACTATATATATATATATATATATATATATATATATACATAATTTATTTTCCATTGAATAATACATTGTGTATTTTTATCTAGTCTTTCCAGTTCTCTAATCAGTTCCTTTAAGATGAAATGCATTAGTGTTTTGTTTTTTTGTTTTTTTTTCCCTCACCCAACTTATTGCAGTTTGTAATTTACCCCTGATCTTGGAAAAAATTGAAAGAACTTTAGTTTAAAAAAACAAAAACAAAACTATGGTGCCTTTGATCTTAACATCAAAACTGGAAAGGATTAATGTAAAGAATACACAATATATCTATATTCCATGAAGTGACTTTTCTTGCTAATGTAAGGTTTATAATTTTATAGTAACTATAACACAAAAATTGCAGTTCCTACACTTGATTTAATCACTCATAAATCAAATAGTAATTAAGAAAATGGGAAGCAAAATTCCTGGAATTTAAATTTGCACCATTTAACAACTACAGAATTGCTATAAATATTACTCTTACTTTTAAGATTCTGAGGTAAAATTGTCTTAGAAATTTTTTCTTTAATGAACAAATTTTGAGCACCAAGTTTAATATTGCTGGTAGGATTTGCTAAATTAATACCTTAATTATGATTTAGGTGATATAGTAAAAATATAAATAAGCAAATGCTAAAGTTCATTTCTAATTCTAATGAACATAATTAAATGATCATTTTTTTTTATTCCCAAAATTTTTCTCCAAGAACTCCTCAGCACTCCCTTGTATTATATTACTAATGATTTAACTATAGAAATTATTGAAAATCTTGTTAATGGTCAGGAAATAATGCAAGCATTGTCAATAGAAGAGGGGGTTTTAATCATATTTGGAAATTTAATTGATCTTTGTTTTGATTCAACCAAATATTCAAGCTGGCTTATCAAGAAATCATGAATTTTTAACATTTCAATTAACTCTAATTCTAGTCTTAGAATTCTTTCTAAACAAAAATTTATATTCATATATATGCCTGGCAATGACAGCTGTTAGATTAAAAAAAAAAAAAAATTGAATGAACCTAAAAGTTAATTCTGACAAAAAAAAAAAATTTTCTGGAGCTAACCAATATTTTATATGCTCTTTTTGTTTGCTCTCAAAACAGATTTGAGTGGATGCTGAAAAGTTCTTAACATGCTTCCTAAAATCTCACCAAGCAGAACGTTTTTAGCATCCCTCATCTGTTTTCTTGTTTCTGAATTTAAGTTCTACCTGTCAACTTTACATTTTCACTGCTAACCTATTTTTTCTTTTTGATTTCAGAATCCTATTTAAAGAAAGTAGGTCTGTCCACAATAAAATGACACTGTAAGATTTAAGTTTTATTGAACATTTTTTTTATTTATTACTCTTAAATTAGAATCATGATTTTTGGCCTCCATGTTACTATAGATAGAAAATTGTATAAATGTTAGTTTAGTTATTCTCTGTATATTATTGAACAGGGAAGATGCTTATAGACAAACTTTGCAATTACATATATTGGACAGGATATCAATAACAAAGATAACTTAAATGAAAGATATACTAATGACCATAAGAGTGCAGTAAAAAAAATAAATAAATATAAATTTTGTGACATTGAATACACTCCACTTAGAGCTAGATTTACAAAGATAAGTATTTTTAACTGACTTTTTTATTTATTCATTTTTTTTTATTTTTTTCCTTGTGAAGTTGGTCATTAACCTTTTTAACACACAGCATTATTCACTACTTTTCCATTGAAAATTTTTTTAATCTCTTAAAGGCTCCTTTACTGCACTAAATTTCAGTTATGGTCATTTTCTGTTGCCATAGCAGGATATAACAACACAACTACAAAATTCAAACACTCTATTCATTCATCTGAGTCATTTGCAGTGGCAGGATAAAACTTGTTTTGCAAGCAAAATCCTCAGTATGTTTTAATTGTTTCACATTTCCTGAAATGTGAAATTAACAAAGAATTTAGATTCTGATAATTTTTACTTTTTTTTAAATGAATTGGATTTCTAATTTTTGTATTCTATTAACTTGATATTAATTTGATACTTACATTTTTTTTTTTTTTTTTTTTTTATTAAAATGCACATTAGACCATGAGAATTTTGCTAAAATTCTGATTGTAGAATTAATCTAATTTCTCTATAAAATGTTAAATATAAGTTTGAGGTATGAATTTAATTGCTTAATAGAAACTTAATTAATATTAATGATGATAGTTGGTGATAGGCAAGAATGATGCCCAGCCTGATCTCTAATTATGCTATTAAAATGTATATTAACTATACATGTACTTTTGGTTGGGTGTGTACATACTAGTAAGAAACTTAACAAGCCTATTTGAAATTGTGGCAGAAACAATAGAACTGAAATTTGAGATGTTGTCTGTTAATGGATTAATTTAATTCTACATTGATAGCATTAAATTAATCCAGTTTTTGTTACATACTGTCTCTAGTGCAAGTGTATAGATTGTTTATTTTTAAGTTCAATTTAATGATTTTTTAATTGATCTTTCTTTTACACATGACATTCAGTAATTCCTCTCTCTCTCTATATATATATATATATATATATATATATATATATATATATATATATATAAATAAATAAGGTACAAATTTTGAAACCTTTATAAATTTTTAATATTTTACTATTGTTGCTTCATCCTGACACTTCTGAAGCTACAATATACATTGTGAAACACATTAAATTCAGTTTGCCTATTTAATCCATATTTTCAATTCACATATCCTTTTTAAGACTAAATTTGTTACATTCATCCAACTACACATGTATATGAATGAGGAATGCTGGGAATTTTAAGTTTTAAAAATTTTTTCTTGTATATAACCAATCTGACTTAATTTAGATTCTTTTAGATATCCCACACTGATATTAGATGATCTGCCAGGAATTATGAGATGTAAGAGCCTTGGCAAAAATTTCTTGTGGATGACCTTATGATTAACATAGTCCTAGACATTTTTGTCATAGTAAATTGTTTTCTCGGTAAATTTGTGCCCTGCTTCTTGCATATCCTGACAGATCTTCTATTATCACAGTGGGATATCTAATAAACAAGTGATGAAAATAAAAATGTAAATGAAATCTGCTATATATATATATATATGACACGCACACAATTAGGTAATAGTAACATTAACCACCTTTTTATGTCCATATGAAACTTGTAATTGTGGACAGCAGTAAAATTTGTTTTTGATTTTCTTTACTATTTTTGCATACATTCATATACCTTGCATTGAGCACTGTAGTAATTTTGCCTTGTTACTTCAAATGTTACTTTTGTGTCTACCTGTATTTGAGTAGACACTGTACTATTTGAAATAGTATTTCACTATTTATCTTGGCTATTTCACAGTAGGCTATTCAAATATGTGTATCCACTAAAAACATTTGAAGTGATAAAGTATAATAAAATAATTATATAAATTTCATTAAAAATGACACAAGATACTACAGTTAAGCTTTTTATATAATTTTTATGTTCAAACTAGTAGCTGAGAGGATGAATTCTGGTGTGCTCTTTTTAGGAATTTTGGAATATTAGGAATATTTTGTACTGAAGTAGGCATTTGTTTTTAAAGTTAAGGTGGCCTGTCGACTACTCTTCCTTAAAGAACTTAATGTAAAACACTAATTAACGATAGTCAACACTGTCAAAAATTACATAAACATTTATTACAAAAACCAAATGCACATTAACTACAAATAAGATGAATCTTCACTTAGAAATATTATAAAGAAATACACTACCCCAATTGACCAGAATAAAAAAAAAAAAAAAAATCTATTATAAAAAATTTAAGACAGCTAACCTTATCCTCAAAAATAACACACCAGTTAAGTCAAAATTACAAACAAACATTGAGTCCAAATGCCCCCTTAGGAACTGTTCCTGATCAAACCAGACTCGTAATTGGTTACACAACTACATGCTTATCTAGATGCCTTATGTTACACCCATCTGTTCATAGCTCCACTAGAACGAACGCACACACACCAGACTCCATTAGACATATTAGTAGAAAACAAATATAACTTCATCCGCCTTAAAAATAATGGAAGCTTTAATAATAAAGAAAAAGCCAACTCTTAACTAATAACAAGTTCACAATGTGCTAATATATTCGGAAATTAAAAACCTCTCTATAACACACTAAAACATACACAATGCACACACTCAATTAAGCTGAAAAATTGAATCATCCTTGATAATGGTTAAAGGTATAGCCAAAAGTGCTTGGAAATATAAAACATTTGGACATTTCTTACACACTTTGCCCAGAAAAGATCTCTTGTTCGACCAAAAGAAAAATTAAAAAGCTTAACCATAGCACCTTGTCTGTCATTTTTAATGAAACATGCATAAACGAAGGATTGCTACCTATATATATATATATATATATATATATATATATATATATATCTATCTATAGAATTTACCTATGCAGAATTTTATGTATGAATTTGTACTATCCTTTCAGATACAAAGCTAAAAAGCTTCCATTGGTTGGTAAACCTCCATTAGGTATTTCTGTTGGAAGTGTATCAAACATTAATACAAAAGATCCTAGTCCCCATTCCAACAATAGCTCAGCCAGTGTTCGTATAGATTCAGCTTCTGGGCACCACAATGCCAAGACTGATGTAACACCAATTTTGACAGCATTAGCCAATGAAATGATGGATCACTCCCCAACAGCACCTGAAAAAGTATCTGAAAATAAAAATTTATGGAACTTGTTAGAATATCCTGACTCACAGCAGCACCAATCACAGTCTTTTGGGGAAACCAGTACTGTGAATTCAACTCCTCTGACCCAGATACCATTGTATTTTTCACACACCTCCCCAGAAAGTAATGTAAAGGGAGAACGACTGAGCCCAAATGAATCTATCAAGGAATTACCTGGGCCTGCACTTAGCAGTACTTCAATGTACCACCATAGCCACTCATCGACTCCAAACCTGAACCCTGCTTTAGTGCTTTCTAATCAAAGCAGTTCTCCACAAATCAGCCCTACTATGCCTTCTGTGAAGGCCAGTTACTCCCAGCTTAGTCCTACAGCTACTCCTACTTCTACAAAGCAGCAATCACAAGGGATTTCCTCAATAAATTTAGGGAAGACATCATTACATTCCCAGGCGCAGTTTTCTAGCAACAAAACTATGCCCAACATATCTGACTCTGATCACCAGAATCTGCCTTCCCAGACGGGGAGTAGTGTTGCAGCAGCATTACTTGCTAAGCACTCTCCTCATCAGGTATCACCTACAGGAATTCCAATTGGTGACGCAATGTCCCAAAACTACCACAGCTATGGCCACAAAGATTCTGCTTTAACTGTGAAAACTGATCCCAAACACCATCAGCATAATGGTCAGTCTACTTCTAGCATGTCTCCATCTGTTCCAAAATCACAAAATGTACCCCCACAGGTAAGCCCCACTTATCAAAACATTAAGCAAAAAGACTCTTCACCACCTATGCAGAATGTTAAAGTTATGACAAAAGCAGTTGGTACAAAAAAGGATGCGTCACTTCCTTCTGTAATTCCAGAGAAACCTCAGAATGCTGGGAACCTGTCCCCTCCTGGACAGTTTTCACCTAAAGATGATTGCAAAAATACATACCTGGCAGAGTTTCAAAGGTATGCCGCATCATGTCTAAAGACTCCATTGGGCACTCAAAAAGTCAAGATGCAACAGCCCATTGCTTCAACAGTGGTTACCCTGGCAACAACTCCAGTCTCAAAAGGCCTTGATGTAAAGTCTCTGCCTCAGCAGACACGGAGTCCTTACCAGCTCACCCATTCCTTGACAACCACTTCCCCTTCTCAGCATCACCTTGTCAAAATAGATGTTCAGTCACCAGGACAACAGTCCCCACATGGTACACATCAATCACATCCCCAACAACAGCAGCAGCATCAACAACAGCAACAGCAGCAACATCAACAACAGCAGCAGCAGCAGCATCAACAGCAGCAGCAGCAGCATCAACAACAGCAGCAGCATCAACAACAGCAACAACAACAGCAGCATCAACAACAGCAGCAGCAACATCATCAACAGCAACATCAGCATCAACAAAAGACATTAACTCATGGGATGTCACAAAATATACATCAGTCTCATCATCCCTCAAAGCCTCACTCTTCATCACATCCACCCCACCAACAGCTCTCAAAAACTTGGCGGCCACAACAGCAGTCTTCCCAACACAATCGGCATCAACCAATGCAGCAACAACCACCCCAGCCCCAACCCCCAAAGTCATACTCCTCTCCACACATGCCAGTGAAATCAATGTCAGCATCTCCAATATCTCAGGTTGTGAACTATCAGGCCTCTCAGCAGCAACAGTTGAATGTACAAAAACAAAGCCATGTCAAAGTTCAACAAGTGCCACAACAGCCTAGAACAACCATTTCACCACAGCAGCAAGTCAAAGTTGACAGTGTTCTCAAACACCATTCTACAACTTCCCCCACTGTTCAGACAGTGTCATCTTTGACTGCTACTCGTCACACTCATCACTCCCCAACTAGTGTCATGAATACCAGTAATAATGGCAATAAAATGGTCACTGGGGTCACTTCATCACAAAGAGGGACAGGTATCCACAGTCTACATTCAGCATCCTCTAACCTTTCTCTGCAATCTTCAACCTCTTCCTTAAAACAGCAGCAACAACAGCAGACTCGGTCACATTGTCTTGAGTCTACATTGGCAGTGTCACCATCAACTACAGCATCCACAACTTCTGCTTCATTGGGCTCCACATCCTCAGGGTCTGTGTATAAACTCCCGACAATTACAAACATTACCAGCTCTGTAGGGACTGCATCCCATCAGCAACACCTTTCTTCTTATTCTTCTTCTACTTCTACTTCACAACCCACATCACATACAGCAACAGCACTGCCGCAACACCAAAGTATGATGAGATCCCAAGGGCAAGCAGGACTTCTTCAGCTGCGAGCTGTGCTTCCCTCAAAGAGTAGTGGTGGTAGTGGTGGTGTTAGTTATACAGTAATGTCCACATCTCAGGGAAAACCCTCTGCCCAAACATGGAACATCAGTGGTGGCATTTCACAAGCTTCTGCAACTTCTTCCTCCTCTTGCAAGCGAACTTCAAGTCCTATTTTCAGTTCTCCTTCATATCAGCAACAACAGCAGTTACATGGATCAACTCCTCGGTTGTCTACTCCACAAAATTATTCGGCTAGACCTCTGCTTGGACTTGCCTTGGACAAAATGCAATCTCCTCACTCGGGAAATATTCCAAGTCAACTGAATCAGGATAGCACCAGACACTCAAAAAGCGAGTGAAACAGTTTCTTTTGGGAATGATATTAGTTATTAATGATGATTAATGGTGATTAAATAATTGAAGTTCAGTGGAAGATTTTCTGACTTGTAAAAGAAAGAAAAAAAAAAAAAAAATTACTTCAAGATTTCTTTTTTTTTTTTTTTTTTCCCTCGCCCCCCTCTCTCTCGCCCTCTTTTTCCTCCACCATTATCATTGTCATCCTAACTACCACCACTACCACCACCTATTTCATCTGTTCATTCCTTTACAAATGTCTTTTTCACTCTATTCATAACAAGCCCTCAAAATATTCATCTTTTACCAAGGACATCAGATATTCTGGATTCAGATTTGTGTAGTATTATTCTATACACGGGGCAATAACAATTTCTCTCCAAAACTTCAATCTTGTTTTACAGCAAGGGTGGAAACTAAAAAGAACACATTAAAGGAAATGTTTGAATTTCCTGTGCCCCTCCACTTTTTTCTTTTTAACTTATTTACTTTAAAATTTTTTTTTAACTTTATTTTCTAAGGCATTGCTTTGTGCCTTTTTATTAGTCTTTAACTTTTTTTTTTAATTACTGCATACATGTAAGCAAATAAATTTTGCTAATAAATGGGAAGTTAATTACTATTTGTAAGAACCCTGAGATTGTCTTGTCATTTTTTCCTTTTTATACATGCATGCAATATCCTGCCTTTTACATGAGTATTTTTCTTTTGCCTCCCAAAATGGAGGGTACAGGCAGTTATTACCATGCAAGAAGGGAACAATTATTTAAATTTAACTAAATATTTAACAAATCAAATCAGATTTTTTTTTTTTTTTTTTTTTGTGATCTTAACTAGAAATACGGTGGTTAACATTTTATTGCAAATGTGACTTAAACTTTCAAACCTTCTGCAGAGTTTAAATTTATTAAAATTCTTTTTTTGCCTTTTACTCTTTGCAGCTATCAAAATTCGAGCAATATTTAAGTTAGTTCAATTATCAATATTAAACTTTTATACTTAGATGGATAACTTTTTTATCCATTTTACAATCTATAAATGGACATAAACTAATTTTATATTTAAGTGTACATTGCATTCACATTTTCTAAAAACAATTTTATAGATGTGAGAAACAATTGTTTTCAATTTTGTAAATACCTAGTTTCTTCCCTCTTCAAATGAATTTAAAATGCAAATGTGTAACTTTTAATTTCACATAAAACATTATTGCATGCAGTTTTCAATAAATTTTTGTTCCATCTCACTAAAAAAATTTATACAAAAATATTTGAAAACTGTCTACGCAGTACACAATATGCCTCTTTCCAGTATCCATAATTGCATTATCTAACAACTCTACAATAAAACCCTGCTGTAACTGCAGAAAACAATTCATTTTTTTTTTTTTCCTTTATCTTAGAAATTTTTCATATTATAATTTTGTGATAGTCTATCAGTTCTCATAAGACTGAAGCATGGGATAATGATATTTGTGGCAGGGGAAAAAGTAACCAAAAGTACAGGTTTTAATACTCTATATTGTATAATTTAACTGGAGGCCTGTTTGATAATAAATTCTTTTTCTAAACAAGTTTTAACAAATTTTTATTACTATTATACTAATAAAGTTTTTTGTTTTTTGTTTTTAAGGGTCATAATCATCTAGAATCTGTATAAACACTATGTACTTGACAGTGCAAGAGCAAATGAACTGAGTGGGTATAGATGATCTATACTGTGTTAGTTCAAAAGATAGTATTATAAATATTGTATATTGTTACTGACAAAACTTGACTGCATTCTTATAAAATTTACAGTATACCAGGTTCAATAAATTTGACATCAGGAAGTAACCATACAGGGAGAGTATTGAAACTTGTCTCCTAAAAAGATTTTTGTAAAAGATACTTATATCTTGTATGTTGTGAATAATACAGATTCTAGTGGAAATGATCATAGTAAGTTACTTAACTCTTACTGAGAACTACTAGTTAATTTCATTAGTTTGTTACCTCTAAAGTTTTGTTTTTTTAACATTGACCTGTTTTTTTTTTTTTTTTTTTTTTTTTTTTTTTTTCTCTTCTAATATTAGCTATATACAAAGAAAAGAATTACCATAGTTACGAGATATACAATATTTAGGAATTTGCAATATGTAGAAAAAAAATTAACTGGTTATTTTGGAAGTTAGAACTGGTATTTTGTTTTGTTGTTGTATGTGTGTGTTTTTTTTTTTTTTTTTTTTTTTTTTTTTAAACAAGTGAAAATATTGGATCTGATAAGTTCAGATTTATAGCTCATCTGGCCCTGATGAGTTTTGATTCAAAGCTTCAGTTGTCTGATCAGATGAGTCACTTGAACTTTTCATTATTTATTCAATATTATAGCTTTATCAATTGAGTGCTTTTTGGAAGGAGTTCTAACCTGAGAAATATGTAAAAAAAAAAAAAAAAAAAAAAAAAAAATTTTTCATCTTTAAGTGCAGTGGATGGTTCAAATTTCAATTGAGTTTCTTACATTCATTTTCATCTAAAATACTCTTGGGAAAGTTAATCCTTTCTCCCCCAGCCATAAGGGCAGACTAGGTTCTTCAGTGTTGTTTGGCAACTAGTCTAGGAAAGGATTTTTCGGAATTAAAAATCTAAGGGCTCACACTGCACCATTCATCAGTTTTCCACTTTTGAATGTTGAACATTTGTCCTCAAAGTAATTGCAACCATAAAAAGAACTAGCTTTCTCCAGCCAGACCTATTCTTTACCTCTTTTACTTAACTCTTGAAATTAGTATGAAAGACTTTAACATCCTTGAAACATTTCTTGGATTTGTCTGGGGCTTTTACCAAGTGCGAGTTCTCTGTAAAATGGGTGCTTAGGCCAACTCCTTTCCTATCCTGAGAAATCCTGCCCAGAGCATTTCATATGCTGAGGGTTTTGGTTTGTTGCAGAACAATTGTCTGTTGTGAAAGACTGTTACTTTATATTTAAGATATGTCTACAGCACTTTCTAAGGTTTTTGATATGGTGGCAATATATAGTCCATGTCTCTGAAGTTTACATGAGAGCAGTTAGGATACACAATTGGTAGACATTGATCTTATTGTCTATTGTGATAGCCTTGTCTGACCTGACACGTTTTTTTCCAATTTTGCTTTTGTCTTTTTCTTTTCTTTTTCTTTTTTTTCTCCCCCCCTCTTTTGTTTTTTCAGAAAGACGCTTATCAGCAATCATGAGCTGACTGTTGACAACATTGTCCTCATGTTTTTTTTTTTTTTTTTTTTTTTTTTTTTTTTTTTCTGATGTTTATACCAAGCTGTGCATGCTCTTGAAAAATGGTCAATTATGGTTGGCTTATACTTCTTGGTATGTTATAAGGTCTGCATCAAAAGAATAAAGTAACTCTGGAATAACAATGATTTAGCTTTGAAATGAACAGTTAAATTTTACCTGTAATCCTGAAACATGGGTACACACCAATTTCATAGTCCTGGAAAGCATACAAGAGAACCACAAGCAAAGAAAGAGCAGGAATGAATTGAATCGACTAAATCTCAAGGAAGATTTAAAGGGAAATCCATCTTGTAAGACTTAAGTAAACTTTATACAAAAACATTAACTGCTGCCTCATACCAGCTTCTCCCCCAATAATCCTCATACACTGTGTTTTTTTTTTTTTTTTTTTTTTTTTTTTTTTTGGGTTCCTTCTAAATTAGGATAATCCAATATATTGATGATATCCAATCAAGGCAAGTTATTGATGTCAAATACAGAGGGATTATGAAAGCTCTGTAAAATATTCACATATAACACCTTAGTCCTTCTGATTACAAGTACTCTGAACTTGCAAGGATATATCTAACTGCATCTGATTCTTCATCTGATGGATTTTGTGCTGAAGCAATGATTTAGTGTTTTTGAAGGATTGTAGCAAGGATGTATGGTATCTGTCAGAATCACTCAAAAGCTTTTAATGTGCACTTTTTTTTTTTTTTTTTTTTTTTTTTTTTAAAACCAATCCCAATGTTTTCTCTTTCTGAGAGCAAGAACACGTGTTGTAGATCTTGGTCTTTAAACTGATCTCTGGTACCATTGTTACTATTTGGAGATCCTCACAAATAGAAAGGTACTTCAACCTTGAAACCTCAGTATATTGGAATCCTTGCCTGGTATCAATCTATGCTTCATCCTACATTCAGCCTGACACTTTGACAGTATATACATCCTGCAGGTCTTGCTTATGACATAATCAAGAATGAGCCCCAATTTTGATATTGGATGAATCCAAATAACATCATGGCAAAAAGGAGTTGCAGATGACTAGTTTTAATTCCATGCAAAGCTGAAGAAAGTGTAGTCCATTCATTTTTCAAAGGCTGTGCTCTTCCAATCTCATGATCTTTACTGACTGGCAATGAAAGTAAAAGAATCTTGTCTACATTTGAAACTTTTGTGATGGCAGTTCTGAGACCTTGGTAGAAAGTCAGGATAGATTCCTCAGGACTGTAGAGGTACTCTAAGGAACATGATTCTATCACTAATACCTTCAGGCTGTTCAAGATGCTTGGTTAACTCTACAAATAAAGCCAACTCTTACCTAACATTTTTAGTTCTGATCATATACATATTTTTTGTTTGTAATTATTTTGATAAGATCGGTTGAATTGTTTTGAAGAGATGTTAAAGAGTAGGTAAGTAATATATTCTTTTTAGCTACTTGTTAATGTCACTTGTATTTTTTTTGTAGTTGTAAATTCTATATGCTTTTCTCTTAGCATTGTGGATAAAATATTGGAAGTTTTTAAAGGTGACTTCTATGTATATACAACTTCTCCGGGCAAATATTGGGGACTGCAGATTTTTAGCACACAATGAAGAAAAATCCTAATTCTACTGTAACGGTGAGAATAAGTTTGAGTTCATTCTTGGTAGATTTCTTTGTAAAATTTTAATTGATAGTCATAATTTGTTCCATGTAGCATGATATCTAACAAGATATGTTACCAGTTTCAGAAGTAAAATCTATTTT